AAAAACAAATTCAAAATGGAGTAAGGACCTAAATGTGCAAACAGAAAATATAAAATGCTTAAGAAGAAAAGACAGAGGGAATACTGTCAGGTATAATTTTTAATAACGAATTATCAAATGTAACAAAAGCATAAATAGTAAAAGACAAAATAAATGGGATCTCATGAATATTAAAAACTTTTTCTCATCGAAAACTTTATCAAAAAGTGAAAAAAATAAGCTAAAACTTGGGAGAGTATCTTCAGAAAACAAGTATCTGACAAGAATTTAACAATGAAAATACATATAAAAGTTAACAATTTAACAACCAAAAAAAGACAAAGCCAATCATTAAAAGGACAAGGGAATGAACAGATATTTCAACAAAGAAAACATTCAAATAGCCACCAAAAGTGGAAAAGAAGCTCCACATCATTAGCCATCAAAAAGAAGGAAATCAAAACTATAATCAGATATCACTTCACTTCCATTAGGACAGCTAACCAACACTTGTCTGTCAACTGGTCATATGTGATGACTTCCACGTTACTGTGAGGCTGGAAGCTATGCCACTGGTGTTTCAAAGCCAGCAGGGTCACCCAGGGTGGACAGGGTTCAGTGGAGCTTCCACACTACAAAAGACTGGAAAGAATACAGGGCCTTCCACTTCTGAAAAAAATGGGGACACTGAAAGCCTTATGAATAGGAGGGAAATACCTGATATATTATTGGAAAACATGAATACCAGTGAAACACTGATATACTGCAGGAAAATAAGCCCCTCAACTTGAAAGACATTCAAAATACTACCAAAGAAGAGCCGCCTCCTAAAAGTAGAGTTGACTTTGCTGGCACGGATAGAGCTTTCATGATCTTCATTTGCTAATGGTGCAAGACTCAAAATGAGAAGAAACAGATGTAAACATACATTAATACTCAGAACATGAAATGCACAAAGTATGAATCTACAAAAATTGGAAATTGTACAAAATGAAACGCAATGGATAAAGAAGGATATTCTAGGCGTTAGTAAGCTAAACGAGACCAATATGGGCCACTTTAAATCAGACCCAGGAATGAAAAATGAAAGGGGAACACACAGAATGCAAAATCAGAAAGAACATCTCAAATTATATTCTGAAGTACAATGCTGTCAGTGATAGCACAATATCCATATGTCTACAAAGAAGACAGCAGTCAGCACCAGGGTTACAGGTGAGGAGAGACAACTCAGGGACGCCCGAAGTAGCAAGCAGGAAGAGCAG